TTTCGCGGCACGAACACAAAAATCTACTTTATGATCTGCTTAACACTTGGCCTAACGCGTTCGATCTATATTTCGGTATATCGGAATGTTCGGAAGGAATATATAACGGATACTTTTAATTAAATAAAATCGCGTATCAGTTTCCTTTATCTCGATTTCGATCGATTGAATGGCACTTGAGATTTGATCAACCGCGACCAGACGAGACTAAACGGACGGGAGTTGGCACGTGCTTGTTGCAATCCTGTTGATATCCAATATCGCGAACCGCACCCACGCTCGCCGCTATTTCACGTCCACCCACGAGACAGATGGATTTCGATTCGAGGAGCATCCGGAAGTTAGCCGATTGAAATAAAAATATCGTCCGTGAGTAATAAATATCGACGCTGCTGCTGTCGAACGAATGGCTACAAAGGCGAATAATTAACGACTCGGTTCGGATTACATTGTTATATTCCCTTCCGCATCGATCATCACCGAGTGAAATAAGACGATATTGCGAACCAATGTGAAACAACCTATTAAACAAATCTCTCGCATTCAATGTCAAGAGTGAAATTCTTATCGAGGCACACGAGAGAATACGTCTTTTCTTTCTTTCTTTTTTTTTTTTTTTTACGATAATTGATTTACGTACATTCCGTCAAAGGTGATGAAAAATAATGAAATCGAGTTTAATGATCCGATTATCTTCACGTTCCAGATATTTTCTGATTTATTTTGCAACGAATTCGTAATTCAGGATTATAATATTCGTCGAGCAAGAATATTTTCACCGCGTTTTATTATTCATAATTTCGTCTTACTGGATTCTATGTTGAGATGATTTATTATTTAAACTTAACGTAACGAAAATTTTACGGCTACGTGATATTTATATATAAGCGCGTGTTTTTGTCACAATCCATATACGAACGAAGCGAGAAATTATTGGTGTGATAAAATATATAAATTGGCTTCTGTTTGTACGTACGTAAGAGGACTCGCGTAAATCATCTTCCGATGATATAAATTTGGAATGAACATCGTAAACCGTTTACTCGTAGTAATGAAAATTAGTGAAAATTAATATTAGACGAAGAGAAAAATCGCGATTTAATTTCAATGTAAATTTTTTTCGCACGAATAATGTGACTACGTGTACAACGATTATATAAATAACATGGAAATAACATCGCAAACACCTTGACCAAAGAAAGTTATAAAAGTTTAATTTTAATGTTTACTGTTTAATTATTATGTAAAATATGTAATATGTAATCTTCGTATATAACAATCGTATCAACGGTGATGTGATCGTCGTCATTTCCAACGTTTACTATTCTACGATTTATAATTCGAGATTCGAAAAATCAGCGAAGATTTAGAGCGAGGTAAACTCTGTAACGCGATAACAAATGTCACGTATTCTCGAACGACGTTGAGACCTGACTGAAAACCAGGATCCCCGTAATCGAATCATTAAGCGTCAATGAACACTATTTTTATAACGTTCGTTTTGATTAATAAGCAGAACAGATACACGTGATTCGCCGAACGTTCATTCTGATCGTGCATCTCCTTTTAACGCAGGAAACGACGATTTAAATGATTTGAAGTATCCATTTATGAGACGTGCAGTAATGTAAAGAACAAGAAGAAGAAGAAGAAGAAGAAAAAGAAGAAGAAATACAAGCAGTGGAGGAAAATTAATTTTCATTTTAGCGTCACAGAGATTTTCGTATTAATTAAGATCATGGTCAAGTATAGCGCTTTGACACCGTAATAATTGCGAAGGAACATGTTTGGATGAGAACGTAGTTGGAATAAACACGGACAGTGAGGAGCGGGGATCGGGAACTTCCCTCCATAAAGTTGCTGCTAATTATTAAAGATATTTATTTCGTTCAAGATCGACGTCACTTATATCGAGACAAATTTGCATATTTATGCGAGATATTCGTGATCGAAAATACGATAACGAACAGCTGTTAAAGTAATTTTTACCTTAAATATAATTGATTCAAAATTTATTGAACGTATAATTATGAACCACTTCTCGATACTCGTGCAATATTGATGATAATATTGATGATAATATTGACGATAATATTGATATACTCTCGTATTATTTTTTTACGACAAAAAAATTCGTCGATTAATAAAATTATTTCATCTTTTCAACGTGCACATAAAATTTATATATGCGCGTATGTACTATAGACGTATGTACTATATAAGATTAGACGAGGTCTCATCGCATACGTAACGATCCAATGTTATTTACATATCGATGAAAGATACTAGAATAACATCTAGGCCGAGCACGTAGGAATCGTATTTGCATAAAAAAAAATATCTCTCAGTTAGAAAATAGCGTAGATCTTGATGTGTCGTTCACAACCTCGTAAAAACGACGAACATCTATCAATACGATACGTATATATTACCCGCCATTTTCACTCATCGTAAACCAATTTTCGAAGAAATTGTAACGGCAAACGAATCAAAATGCACTTTTTACGACGATTCGAATTTGTTTGAAATTGTATTTTTAATAAAAGCAAGAGAAGAAACGCTCAAGTACGAGAAGTACTACATCGAGGTTACATTTTCACACGAGAGATGAATCAATGGAAGATCGATCGATCTTCATTGAGCACGATCGCGTAGAATTGCATCAACGATTATCACGCGAGCTCGGCGGTTGTCGTGACGCAGTTATTCGGTTGAGCTGTTTCAAGTTTTTCTTTCTCACATCAATTTCATTCTATTTTTAAAAGTTGAGAATGCTCCATTGTACAATTGAACCGAACGATAACGATCAGAAACAATTTAAATGACATTTTTTTGTTATCGAAAAATTATTCGTTGCGTAAAATAGGAAAATGGAAGAGGTTAAATGCACATAAAAATATACTTTCCGCATAAAAATAGAAAAGTACAATTTTTTCGATTCTCTCGAACGAACAAATTATCTTCGTTAAATGGAATGACAAAAGTACACGTTTGTTTGATTACATTTAAATGTAAATTTATAGAAACTTGATCTATCTGAATATATAATGGATTAATCCAAGGAAAGGATCGTGTTACGTATAAATATGAAAATTTTTGGCATGGTCTGCGAACCAAATGGCAGACAATTGTGCAACGTGTATTAATTAACGTTGGTGTTCAATGCTACTGAAACTGAAAACCAGGTCTATTTGTCAAAGTAGCCGAAAAAGGAATGGATTTATCTCGTTTTCGGCTGTCGACTCTCTCAAGCCTGGCTGATCTCGAAACAACGGAATATGTACATGACGTTGATGCACGATCACGAAAGTGACCCGAGAATGCTGTGGCGTTATGAGTTAGACTGGAGCACTCGTGTATCCGTGCGTTAGGCAATATAAAACCGTATACACACCGCTCGGGAGGATCGCTCAGCCTTTCGAAACACACGAACGAATTATGTTCAACAAGCAAGGATAATAATCTCAGCCGCAATAATGTTCCATCTCGTGAACGACCGACAAGGTGCAACGGACAATGATTCAAACGCCTTCAAAGACTGTCCGTCGTAATTGTCGAATAATATTCTAGACCATCAGAAGTAAAAAAAAAAAAAAAAAAAGAACGATACGCTGATTTTCTGATCGCTCCTCTTACCAATAATTATAAGTTCCTGCTTGTTAAGAAAAATATCGACAAATTAAGGCCATGCCTGTTTGTTTCCCGTATAACGAGCCGAGAAAAAAAACTTTGAAGCACCAATTTTATTATTTTCTTTGCGCAGCATCATCCGTTTAGTTCATCATTAGCTCGCTTCCAAGACGTTTAAAAATGATTCCATTACTTTTTATTCAAACTGTGAGAAGCGATCAGCCTCCTATAATAAGATATAATAAAATGAGAGAAGAACGTATCAATCTCGTACTCTAATATCCTTACGCTAAAATATACGTTATATTTTTCTTTCTTCTACTCCGTTCGAATCGGAGGATCAATTTCTTCGATCGAAATTTCTATAAATCTTATTTCTCTCGCTGAATTGTTTATTTAGTTTCTAGCGCGCGTATATAAAATGGTGCGAGGTATCTTTCAATAGAAACCGACACGTTATCGATCGGTACTCGGAAACGACATATCGAAGATCGATTTCTCGTTTAAATAGATAATTTCGCGTTCGGTCGACGAACTAACTAACGTCGACGATCGAGGCAACGATATCTCGGGAATAAATGCGAAATGTTCGCGATCGAAATCCTGATTCTTACCGACTTTAACCATAATTCATGTCCCATGGTAAATTTAACGATCGATCAGTGTGACGGAGGTAACGCGATTGTTAATACCGCGTACGAACCGGCGAACGATGATAAGTGTCGTGAACAGAGACTTGCTACGTCAACTTGGTATAAATCGTTAAGAGAACGAAAGACAACGAAACCGCCTCTATTGAATTGTCAGGCGCTTCGTTTGCATATCTTCTGTTACTTTACTTTTCCCGTGTCTTATCAACGAATCGCCGATTCGTAATAGTTAGATACGTCTGATTATAAAAGCACGCGTGTAATAATTCTCAATAGTGAAAAATTTCTCGGATTTTCCATTGTGTTTCATTTGTATTAATATTATTATTAACATTCGAATATCTCGTTTTATCTCTGTGTCGCTCGATGTACGAAAGAATTTCGTTAAAAAAAAAAAAAAAAAAAAGAAAAAATCTAACGATTCAACTTTACTTCTTTAAAAGTAAACTTTGAAAGCAAAATGATTTTCAGGGATCTAGGTAGCGTCCTAGTATCGATTCGTTTATTAAAAATTGTTCGAAACGATTTGGAAAAAACCGACGTATTTTACGATGATATTTGTACTACGGAGCATAGTTGTGACGTATCAAAGAGTCGTGTAGAATCCCCCCCTTCGAGAAGAAGTACTTACTTTCCTGCGCACCTATAAAACCAGTGAAAGCGCCTGCCGACCCTCCAGACTATCGCACAGTACGACAGTGGCAGGAGCTCTGCCGACTACCGTCACCGCAGCCTTAGATTGTCAATTAACAAATCTTTCACAATAAATCGGAAGTTTCGTCAACGAAACTGAAAATTTTCGGGTGCGTGCCATCCACCGTTGTTCTCGTGTTTCGCTGCCTTTTACGCTCGCCAATTATTTCTTGTGAATAGAGTAGCTTGGTAGGTTAGCAGTGACAATGAAGACGATAGTTGCCAAAATCCTGATCGTCGTGTCTTTAACTGGAACACAGGTGCTAGGATATCCTCCGCAAGAAAGGCTCACACCAGGTATGCGAGCGATCAATCTTTCTTTTTTATCTCTTATTTACTTTTATATCCTATTAAATCCTTGGAAATGTAATTTGATATTTTCAATTTAAAATCAATTAGAAAACTTAAAAAAATTCTATTTTTTAATTTCGTCGATTTTTTAAATAATCTCGTCGAATTTTTATCTCTCCAAAAAAAGAATCAAATTATTCGTATCAAAGAAAATGAATTTTTTTTTTTTTCATCGTGTGGGTAAATTTGATTTTTTAATGGGAACGAAGTAGGTAGGCAAATCTCGTCAAGTTTGCTATGTTTAATCGTTGCAATTAACTAGCTAAGAGCGTGTGGAGTCGATCTTTGCTGTTCTTTCTCTCTCTCTCTCTCTCTCTTTTCCTTTCAATGCATTCTCGCTTTTTTCGTATCAAACAATTACAGCCCTACCCTTTTCCCATTCATCGTTTCTCTTTCGCTCTCATGAAAGTAGAACATTTCCTTCTACAGATGCTAATCACGATAATCTGACACGGTCGAGCCGTCTTTTCGGTACGTGACAGCATTCAAAATTGTTACAATATAAAATTCCCTTACAGAGTAATATATCACGCTCCTTCCATCATTTTTCTTCTTTCATCGTCTATCCTACCGTCTCATTTTTTTATACAAAAATGGAAACCTTGAACTCTCGCAGTGTTTCTCGAGACAAGAATAGAAATGGTCCTTGTATTCCAATTTACATATACGCATACATCATTTATGTAAAATATTAATCACGAGAGTTCAGTATAATTAAGCTGTATTCTTTAATGTACCCATAAAGAATCCCATATTTAGAAAATGACGAAAGAGTATGTACTTATGGTATAAATTATAATTATATACAAGAATTTATGCCATTGTAAACATTCTCGTCGCTAATCGTGTCAGATTTCCATTGAATTTTATAAGTTTAAATCCAAAGAATGTTTTTTTAATTGGTCTGGTTATGAGTCGAAGGTTAAACATTTATTCAAGAATGTTTAGTTTATTCTTCGATTCATCTTTTTGTATTCATCTTATATGAATGCAAATTAAATAGTAATAATCATAATTTTGCAACAAAATTTTTTCAACGCGATATCTTTTCCTTGTTCCATGTTTTTTTTTTTTTTTTTTTAATTTCGTAATATTTTGAAAAAATAAAACAAACAAATAAAACTTTTGATTTTGCGAAAATTTTTTTCTCCGATATTTCTTCTACTATTTATTATCCTTTGTAATATACTTTTGCGATATAGTGTAGGGAATAAATGTAATTATAACATTCGTTAAAAGGAATAACGGTTTTTTCTTTTAATCGATTTTATCGATATTCGATAAATATCATTTATTTTTCCTTGGTGCTCTTTTTAACACCTTGTATATCATTGTTTTCGACACCATTATTTTCATCACTGTGACATTACATAACATCTTTATATGAAACAGGAACTTTCTTAAGCCTTATGAAACTTATTTTAAGTTAACACGCAATTATGCATAACTTTCCACATTGAAAACAAAATCCTCCTTAATTCGCGAAACGTTGATATTTTCCAATTAATATACTTCTCTACAGGCTCGCAAATATTCCACAAACTTACCAACTTATCCGTTGAATTTCCGGCTTCCCATTCTATTCCCATTCGTTGTTTCGTTTCGCCTAATCAAGAATCTTCTCTAACGTGATCGATAAGATTCGCGTGCAAAGCTACGAAATTACAGCGATTGCAGATCGAGGAAGTTGTGCACTGGCCGTGAACACGAGTTCCGTTGTCGAGTTTTTTCACGTCTCGAATCTTCCTTGAAACTTACGATACTCGAACGTGATAAACTCGATTCGATTGTTATTATTATTATCGACGACGACACGCGTGAAAGAAGAAAAAAAAAAAAAAAAAAAAGAAAAAGAAAAAAAGAAAAAAAAAAGAACAAGGACTGGAAATGAAAATTTTTTCCAAAGGAAACGTGGATTCAGGAGCAAGGGCGACGAGAACCGGGGACGAACGTGAGTAACGGGCGTCGATGGAGAAACTACTTACTTACTTACATACTTAGTCATTATAGCGATGATGTGGGGCAACGGAGGATAATATCAATGCCCCCCCCCTCCCCCTCCCCCTCTCTCGCGAACAGGCTGCAGCGGTGATCACGTGCGGCGCATGAATTCCACGTGTCGGTGCACGTGCCGATCGTATATAACCCGATCGTCGCTGGAAAGAAAGAGAGTCGCGGTTCTACACCTTTCCTCGTACAGGTTAATACCGTGGAAGGAAAAGTGTGACCGAGTCACGTGTGCACGCGTCAGCCACTCCGCTCGATTCACGCGACCACCGCGGCTGTTCCGTCAATTAACACCGGCTTCGTCTTCGCCATTCTTCTTTTCCGTCCCGCTCGTCTTGGCCCGGTACAAGGCCGTATCTTGGAAATCATCTCCTTTCGAACGAAATCTTCGGTACAGCGAGAATCGAAGGCGTCTCGAGGTTAGGTTATGGACGAACAGAGAAATCGATGGTGGGTAGTAGATGAAAATTTCCAATTTCGAGTAATATTCGGTCGCGTAACGGGAACCAATTAAAATCTTATCCGAATCTTATAAAATCTTATCGCATCCTTGTACACGCGTACACGTGTCAAAGTTGCTTTCACGTTAAAATTAATTACATTCGCGAAATATATCTACGTATAAGATTTCTTCTACCGTGTTTCGAGTATCCATGCTCCGCGAATGTGTGATTGATTCGCAAATCAATTACATACGAGGAACTGAATTAATGTGTCATAGTGCGTGTAACGGCGTGTCGATCCAGTAAATTATTAGCGAAATCAAGCCGCATAATTAATGCGCGGAAGTGAATTTACCGTACACGGGCCTTCGGTGAGCTGAGTATGCAAATTTACTATTACTATCTCACAGTGTAAAATGTAGTCGCAGATCGCCAAGGTTACGAATGTAGCAACGTGTAACGAGATTATATATTTAATTGATAATTTTTCTACACTTCTTTCTGCTTAAATTATTTACGTTAACTCCAATAATATAAACAACATATATATTCCCGTATTAACAGCGTTAGCTTACGGTTGGAATTGGCAGATTAATTAGAAACGCGAGTTTCTAGATACGAAACTATTAAACTAGGAAAATGAGGTCGTGGATGTCGTTAATTTATATCTTTTACTGGCACTCGTAACCTCTTATTAGATTTTACTTTCTTACTTCTTGTGGAAACGATATATCCATCCTGTACGTTCAAAACTTTTTCGATTTTTTCTCTTTCCCTTTTTCTTATTCTTATTGAAGCAGAAAGTCCAAGTACGAGAAAGTGATATCCATGGATTATCTTTGTATACTTTCCAAACCTTAACGAACGAACGAACGAACGAACGAACGACTTTTGTGGAAAATTATGTTCGGATCTGGGGACTGGAACGTAAGTCACCCACGTATTTAGGTCGAGTGAAATACGTCCGACGCGAGGATTGCGAATTCGCGGGGATTGCGATTCTATGGGTGTTCGCGGTTAATTACGCGTAGAGGTGGCTTTTTCGCGTCGGTTAAACTTGACGCGGGAATGGTGTTGCGACAACGCTATTCTTCCTGCTCCCCTTTTCGTGACTCGAACGTCGGATCCCTCGTATCCGGCGCAGATATTTCGAACGCTCGAAACCCCGTCGGATCGATTTGTTTGAGAAGCAAGAGTTTATTCGGCACAAGGAGATTTTGCGGGGAAAAAGTTAAGAAACACAAGTTCTATAATTAGTTTCTATACGTCTGGCAGATTTGCGGAAAAACGGACAAGTGAGGTTTATTGTATCGAATGGCATAACCGAGCCCCCAAAGGACTATGCGAATCGAATTCATTCCAGCAATTAACATCGTCGAGTAGTCGATATATATATATATATACATTTTTATCGTGGCGACTTATCGTGGCCAGGGGAGTGGGAGTTAAACGTAGGTTTCTTCCACCAGTTTACTAATATACTTTTTACTTTTTCGCGGGTATGACGCATTCTTTCTTGCCAATTATTAGGTCGCGATTGGCCCACTTATCTATCTATATAGCCGCGAGGTAACTGTGTTTCTTCTTTCTTTCCATTTTCGCTTGAGAAACTACCCCAAAGAAAGAACCGATTCTTAATCCCACGGCTGGAAAGAAATCGTTGGAATTGCGGAAGTTGGACTTTCTTGATTGGATTGCATCATTCCGAGGTGACATTATGTACCGTTTTATAGGAAATGATGAGAATTTGCTAAACTCTCGTAAGCTTGCGTTCGTGAAACGATTCCTATTATATAACGTAAAAATTATATGCGTCATTTGTCAAAAGTAGGAAACAAATTTCTGACAATTTTAGAAACTTACCATTGACGAGTTTATAGATTTTTTTTTTTTTTTTTTTTACAGTTTTACATTCCAACGATAATTAGGGGGGAAGAAATGCAAGCGATAATAGCTTGCATTAATAAAATTCAAAAATATTCGAGGCCAAATATTGTAACGTGGATAGTCAACAAAAATTGTCGAACGCTCGAGACGACGAATAATCGATAATGTCGAAACGTTTCCTAGCCTGGTGGATAAAAATCATTTAGTGTTTCGATACATATAGGTGTAAAATTTCTAATATCTTATTGGTATTATTCAAAACTTTTTTTTAAATCATCAAATTTAATATCGGACGGTTAAAGAAATAAGCAATATAGCTCGATCGGAAAAGATTGAAAGCTTTATAAACGGATGTTATTAATTCGATCGACGACGACGAGTGGCGCGAGCTCGGGTAGACTTGATTTCCGCCGAGTTATAAAAGTATCGATACGCTCCTTTATGCAGAATTCACGTGCACAAGAGCGTGGTAGTAGGTGCAGTGCCCGATGCACGTGACGCGAGACACATTGCGCCGGCCATGATCACGTGCACCATGAGCCAAGCTCATTCTGTTTCTCTGACACGGTGTTTCCCAACATTTTTGGATCAACGATATTCCTTAAAATC